GGAATTGGTTCTTTCCTTTCATTCTGTGGGGCCTAGAGATAGAACTCAGGCTGCCAGGCTCTTGAGTTCCTTTCTGGTACACTTTCAAGATGGATGATGCTGCATCTATGTCTTCATCTATATCTGCATCTTTATCTTTATCTGTATTCTTCTGACCTTTACACACCTGGTCACCATCACTTGTAACCCTTGCCTGACCTTGCTTATTAACTCTCCTGGGATTTCACTGGACTCCGTGATTCAATACACAAAAGGCCAGGGTCAACAGGAGGGTGAGGTCTAGGGTGAGGGACATAGTTGAGATCTCCATATAAAGACATTTAAGTTCTAGTTTAAAAACAAATTAAAAAAAAAAAAACATTGCGTGGGCCAAACAAAACAAACCCACAACAGATTCCAGCCTTGGGGACGCCAGTCTGGGACTTTTGCGGTGGCATGGTCTCTGTTTCCCCCAGCTTCCCCTTGGTTCCATCCTGGTCCTCGAAAGCCCCCCTCCAATCCCACCTGCCCCTGTTGCTGGCTCCCTGTGGCTTCTCTAACCAAAAGACACTGACAACCTTAAGTAGTTCACAACCTTAAGTAGCTGGAGGTAATTAATCCTGCCTTCCCAGACTCTTTCCACCATTTCTTTGGGCTCCTCTGCTGCTGTGGTTACAAAAGGCTAAGCAGTGACCACTTAGCCAGCTTCCCCCCCCTCTTTCCTGAAGCAACTGGGACTCCACAATCAAGTCTGATTCATCCTCGACTCCTGGCGCCTGGCTCTGCAGGCATAGCTGGCTAAATGGTGAACACTGGGGAGGGCACGTTGACATTCCAAAGAACTCACTCATTCCAACCCCAGAGGACCTCAGTAGAACAAGCAAAGACGATGACAAGATGATAGTTCCCCTCCCTCAAGGGACCAGACAGAGCCTCCGTGAGAGGAACCTCTCTTTGCACACCTGGTATAGCAAGCCCTGAAAAAAAAAAAAGAAATGTTATCTGCTGGCTGACTGACATGGAGATTAGCATCCAGGCACCAAGAACACTGTCACAGAGGAGAGACAACAGCAAAACCACTGAGGAGGACTCCTGGGACTACACCTGGCAAAGAGAACCCAAGAATCTCTCACTGGGGACATGAATGCTCCAGCCCTAAAGAAGGGCTGCTGCCTGTCCCAGGGAATGAGAACACTGCCATTTCGGTTTGATTTGCAGTGCTGGGGATGAAACCAAGGGCATCACATGTGCTGTGCTGTTGAGTCACACCTCAGCCCCTCACTGGGGGATTCTAGGCAGGGGATCTACCACTGAGCCACACCGCAGCCCCTCACTGGGGGATTCTAGGCAGGGGCTCTACCACTGAGCCACACCCCAGTCCCTCACTGAGGATTCTAGGTAGGTGCTCTCCTGTGCCATCTTGCCGCCTCAGCATGGGTTTTTGTTGTTGTTGTTATGATATCTGGGTGTTTTCTTGAATAGGTTTTTAAAAGCACCAACAATCATCATTAATTATTTTGGAGCCAAGCATGGTGGTACATGCTTATAATCCTAGTACTCCGGAGGCTGAGAGGCAGGAGGATCACTGTGAATGTGAGGTTAGCCTGGGCAACAACAGTGAGTCTCAGGCCAATATGTGTTAAAGAGTATGAGAACTTGCCTCTAAAAGAAAATAGAAAACAAAACAAACAAACAAAAAAAAACCAGTTCCTGTTTGTAGGCTGTGATGGTTTGTATCGTCAACTTGACAAGCTCTAGAATTATCTAAGAAACAAACCTCTAGGCACATTTTCGAGGAAGTCTCTAGATTGGGTTAAGTAAAGTGAGAAGAAGATACACCCAAATGTGGGCAGCACCATCCCCTTGGCTTAGGCTGGGGTCCTGAACTGAATAAAAAGGAGACAGTGAGCTGAGCACCAGCATCCATCTCTTTCTGCTTCCTGACTGTGGTTGTGTTTGGCTGCCTCCTGCTCCTGCCGCCATACCCTCCTCACCATGATGGATGGTGCCCTCAAACTGTGAGCCAGATAGACCCTTCCTTCCTCTCCCTCTCTTTGTCTTTTTATAAAAACAGAGTCTATTATGTAACCCTTGATTGCTGAAACTCACTATGTAGACCAGGCTGGCCTCGAACTCACAGAGATCAGCCTGCCTCTGCTTCCTGAGTGCTGGGATTAAAGGTGTTCACCGTCATATCTGGCAAAACCTTGCTTTCTTAAGGAAATGCCTTTGCCTGGCATTTTGTCATAGCAGTGAGAGGAGTAACATATGTCAATCTCTTGATTGCTACAGAGGAAAAGATGGTGCCGTATAAGCTGCAAAAACACAAAGGCACTAATAGGCAGCACTGAGTACAGAAAAAGGTACTTGTTTTCATGCCCCCGCCCCGAAAAGAGACATAAATTCAGCCCCAAAGAAGTTTAACCCCACACCCCAATAGTCCTATTTTTAGTTTAGAAAAAACACTTGAGATACAAAAACATTAGTCCAAAAGGGACTTTCTTAGGTCATTCTGTCCACCCAGTAGCCCAAGATGGAGCCTGTAAGAGAAGGAGCAGGTGGGGGCCATGTGCTGGGAGGAGGCCCCCGGATACCATGCATGAGTGGAATTTCAGGGCTGACCTCTCTCTCTGAGGCATGAGCTGTTTGTTCCCTGCTTTCTATACTTGGCAGCTTGCTTTTTGCCCAGAAAGATTCCAGGGCCCCCATCCCTCATCACTTGCTGCTTGTCAACCATTACTTGAGAGTGAGGAAGAGAGAGGGAGGAGGGGAGAGAGGTTGGCAGAGGGCTTGTTCAAGGCAGGCTTCCCCATGTTGCTCCCCTTGGTCCTGAGGCTGCCAGGGACACCTCCTAAAGCACAGCTCCTCTGAGTGTGACAGGAAGGATGCCTGTGTCATGTTCCAGGTCAGGAGAGGGTTTCTGTTGCTTTGGGGCTTTTGTTTTGTTTTGTCTGGCCTTGAACTTGTGATCCTCCGGCATACATCAGGATTCAGGAGTGCTGGGATGATAGGCATTCCTGCAACCCATTCCTAGCTCTTAGGGTATTTTTAAACAGAGCCAAGTAGCAGTTATCAAGAAATGACTGCCTGGAAACAGAAATCTAAACTTCAAGCCCTAGGCTGGTGACAGGCCTTTGAGAAGCACCTGAGACTTCAGTAATTAAAACCTTGACACCTGGCCCTGGCTCTGCTCCCAAGAAAACCTGGTAGACTCTTCTCTTCTTCACAGGGGGTTGGAAAGTTGTCTTTTTCCTTCTCCCCTGTGCAGACATAACACCACCGGCACCACTCTTTAAATATCAGTGCAGGGAGGCTATATTTAGAGGCTATTTAGTCCTCAAAATAAGCCCGATTTCCTGTGGCAAGAAGTTCTCAGCGACAGGAGAGAGGCCAGGACTCCGGGCCCTGGCAGGCAGGAGCAGCACACAAACAAGGGTGAACGACTTCTTCCACATAGGGGACTGCTGCCCAAGACCCTGGAGAAAATAACAAAGCTCTCTGAACATTTTCACAGTCACGCCGGAGAGCAGCTTGCTGCAGGGTGGCCACATGGGTGAGACGCCATGTGGCAGACATGCCTCTAGGTGGGAAGGGTGTGTAGTTACTCATTCATTCATTCATTCATTCATTCATTCATTCACTCATTCACTCATTCACTCATTCATTCATTCACTCATTCACTCACTCATTCATTCACTCACTCAGCCATTCAGCCAACTGTGTATTTCTTCACTATTCATCCACCGGGTTTCTCATGCTCACAATCACAATCATCCATGCAATCGCTCACTTACACACTAATCATTCATTCATTCACTCACTCATTCATTCATTCACTCACTCATTTGATGGGTGCTGTCCTTCTGTATATGTTTCTCCTATTGGTTGATGAATAAAACACTGGCTAACAGAGGCAGGGAGACAGGTGGACTAGGAGATGAGGAGAATTCTGGGAAACGTAGGCAAAGGCAGTCGCCTTGTACACTGCAAAGGAGTTAGAGGTCTGGACCCTTCTCTGGTAAGATAAGGCCACGTGGAAATACACAGATGAATAATAATACAGATGGGTTAATAATTAAGACAGAGCCAGCCAATAAGAAGCCTAGTCATTGGCCAACAGTTTCATATCAATATGTGTTTCTGTGTGTTCATTTGGGGCTAACGAGGTGGCTGTGGGACCCAGCCGGGCCAAAAACCTCTCATTACACTCATTTGCTCTTTTGTTCATTCATTCACTCAATTACCTATCTGGCCACTAATCACTCAGTCACCCCATCACTGATCTACTAACCCATCTATTCAGTCATTCAATTGTTCACTCATTCACTCACTAACTCTAAGCTCTCACCTATTCAATCACTTCATCCTTGACAAAACACATCTCTTCAGTAATCCTATGTGCACAACCCTGTTATCAATGGAGCTTTATGTCACCAGGCAGACAAAACACACAACCCATAGGAGCCTTGGGAAAGGCAGGGGTGAAGGGAACTGGGGGTAGGGGGACAATTCTCCTGAGAACATGAGGGAAGGCTTCAGCACCTGGGGACAGAGACAACAGCTAGCATGGGCTATTGCTCGGCTACTCTTATTAGGCCCATTCAGTGAGCCCACATGTCAGCATAACATTTCATACTACCATGAAGAGCTGATAAGAAACAAAACTGTAAACTAGACGTGGTAATGCTTGCTTGTAATCCTGGTACTCGGGAACCCAATGCAGAGTCTCCCAGGAGACTCTCTGTGAGTTTGAGCCAACCCAGACTATATAATGAAACTCCGTCTCAAGAAGAAGAAAGACGTTAAGAGCAGAACAAGGGTCTAGGATGCAGCTCCCTTGATAGAGCACACAAAGCCCCGAGTTTGACCCTCAGCATCACATTGTGTGGGTGTGGTGGTATCCAATTGTAATCCCAGCATTTGACGTGGAGGCAGGAGGGTCAGGAGCTCCAAGACATCCTGAGCTAGTGAGAAACACTGCTGAAGACAGGAAGAGGGAAGGAGAGGGGAACAGAGAAGGTGCCACCCTGTCTGCTACCTATAATCATGTGGGGCTCTGCTGTCCTGGGGGTAAAGATTCCGTGGTGGCAAGGGATCACATGTCCACTCAGCCCTCGCTGAGGATTTGGTAAGTATCGTGCCATTCAGTTCACTCTGCTGGAATAGTTCAGGGTTCTGTACATCTCTTCCACAGCTCTCCTTCTGCATTCAGTCAGTCCAACCAGGACACTCACCTGCCTTCAAACTGTGAGCTGCACTACTGACCACTTTTGATGCTGCCATCTGTCCACTACTGTGCTCTTTCTGTTCCTGGATGCAAGCTGGGGTAGTGCCATATATTAGTGTCCTTTCACCTGACAGTTCTCAGCCTCTCCCCATCCTGCAGGACCTCAGCACTTCTGAAGAGTTTTGCATGCATTTTTCTAAGGGTGTGTGTGTGTGTGTGTGTGTGTGTGTGTGTGTGTGTGTGTTATAAGTGTGTGTGGTGTGTTTGTATATGTGTGTTGTGTTGTGTGTGTGTGTGGTGTATGTGTGTGGTGGTTTGTGTGATATGTGTGGTGTGTGTGTGTAGCGTGTGTATGGTATGTATGTCTATGGTGTATGTGTGTGTATGTATGGTGTGTGCATATATAATGTGTGTGTGGTGTGTATATGATGTGTGTGTGTGTGGTATGTGTATGTTATGTGTGTGTATGGTGTATTTGTGTATGTGTGGTATGTGTGTATATATAATTTGTGTGTGTGGTGTATATGTATGATGTATGTGTGGTGTGTATGATGTATTGTGGTATGTGTGTGTGTGGTGTGTGTGTATAATGGGTGTCTGTGTCTATATATGTAAGCTGGAGGACAACATCCAGAGTGTTGCTACTCTCTTTCCTTCGCATGGGTTCCAAGGATCAAACTCAGGTGGTCAAGTGGAGGTCGGGAGGCAAGCGCCTTCCCACATGGAGCCATCTCTCTGGCCCAGACTTCC